TTCCGGGGTAATAACCAAAGAGCTTTTATAGACACCGCGACGGGAGATAATTCCCCCGAAATTTTAAAATCCGAAGTCCTAAAAGTTATAAAACAAGGAAAGCAGGGAAAAGCAGCGGGACCGGACGATATCTATATGGAATCGGTGAAGCTGTTGGATGACGGGAATATTGAGATCCTAGTGCAACTGTTTAACTCAATATACAGTACAGGCCAAATACCACAAGACTGGCTACAATCAGTCTTTGTGCCTATACCAAAAAAGCCTAACCCTAATCGATGCGACCAGTTCCCATAGAAGAATTTATGGCAAATGTGAAAAAGAAATCGGGCCCACCCAATTCGGATTCAGGCAGGGATTCGGCACACGAGAAGCACTCTTCAGCTTGAACATCTTACTCCAAAAATGCCGAGATCAACGAAAAGACGTCTTTCTGTGCTTCATAGATTATCAAAAAGCATTTGACTGTGTCAACCACACAGAACTAATGAGTCTACTGCAGGAGAAAAGAGTGGATAAGGGCGATCTTTCTTTTATAAAGAACCTGTACTGGAAGCAGACAGCCTCTGTAAGGGTGGGAAATGAAACCACGCAAAGTTTCCCGATAGAGAGAGGCGTAAGGCAAGGATGCGTCTTGTCTCCTCTTCTTTTTAACTTATACTCCGATTCCGTATTTGACCGAGCACTTTTTGAGACGGATGATGGCATAAAGATCAATGGTCTCCCAGTCAACAACCTCCGCTACGCAGATGATACCGTAATTATTGCTGAAAGTCAAGAAGCACTACAACGCCTTGTCGATAGAATATCTGCGACGGGAGAACGCTCGGGCCTAAAGATTAACGTTGAAAAAACTAAGGTCATGGTCATAAGCAGAACACCAGATGTGCGTTTGGACGTCTCGACTGGAGGAAAACGGATACAGCGGGTCTCTAAATTTAAGTATCTTGGTAGCTGGATAACCGAGGACCTAGACCCAGATATGGAAATTCGTGGTAGAATCGAACAAGCTAGGGCGACGTTTATAAAAATGAAACCCATACTGACCAACCAGAGTCTTAGTTTGAGACTACGCTACCGCTTCATAAAGTGCTACGTGTACTCGGTGTTACTTTATGGCGTCGAGGTCTGGACCCTTAAGGCTGGCACTATGAATCGAGTGGAAGCATTCGAGATGTGGGTATTTAGGAGAATGCTCAAAATCGCATGGACAGATCACACTACCAACGACGAGGTCCTGAGGCGCATGGGGATGGAGAGAGAGTTGTTGCAACTGGTTAAACGAAGGAAAGCAGCTTACCTGGGCCACATCTTCAGAAATACAAAGTACCAATTCCTTAAGCTCATCATGGAGGGAAAAATAGAAGGAAAGCGAGGCATCGGTAGAAAGTATAATTCATGGCTCAAAAACATTAGGGACTGGACCGGTCTTGATGCCCACACACTTTTTAGAGCCGCAAAGGATCGCGAAGAATTAGCCAGAATTGTCGCCAACATCCAGTGAAATGGATATGGCACCTTAAGAAGAAGAAGGTAATAATCTTGTTGCATTGTATGTTAATGACCACCCTTGGATAATCCTACTCAAAAGCAATTGGTCACTTTCTTATATCTATGGACAGACTGTACATTTCGATCAGAAAGGTCATATAATTTTTCATTAAAGCTCTGCAATTCTTCGTCGACATCGTGAAATTATAATATTTTTGCATTGCCCCAGTTCCAAACTGTGGCTCCCTTATTGTCAGTTGATTAACACAGATAGTCAATACGTCATGGTCTTGACTTTCTTCAACAAGAGTCAGTCAATATCAGATAATACTAAATCAAGAAGCCTGTTCTCTGCTATTAAATATACAATTGCATTGTTTCATATTTAATAAATCTAGCATACAATTGATAGTAAACGTTTTACGGTAGTTGTTGCTTTGGTGAACATAATCTGGGCAGTTGAAGTCACTCAAAACTACAACATTCTGGTTGTGTTGAATTTCGAAATGCTGAAGTGTTTCCATAAATGCCACAAAACAATCTACGGCTACTGAAGGAGGTATATACAAGAGCGATAAAATGATTGAATTATGTTGCAGAGTGCATTTACAAATTAATAGATCAATATTTGGAAAATTTTTATCGAAGTACGCTGTTTTAACAATTTCTGTTTTTATATCACTTGTCACCAAAAGAGCCACTCCACTTCCACGTGTTTCCTTAACAAGATGTAGACTGCGATTCTTTCTGAAAAGATTGTATACTGATGGAACTAGTTCATTAGAGTTCACCGATTGCGTTAACCATGATTCTGATATAGCCACAATATGATATTCACACTGACGTACCAAACTAAAAAATTAATCCACTTTCGTATTAAGACCGTCCATATTTTGATAATATATAGATGATTCAGATTTCCTGTTGAGCAGATTTAGTTTACCTCCGAAATTTTCGGATGTCCTTTGAAATAATTCTTTAGCTTTTCCCGCTATTGTCGGTCTGAGTTGGATTAACTCCTGCTTAAGTCTCTGTTCCATCTGGCGTTTGGTTCTAATGGGCGTTTTTTTCGATGTATAGAACTTTAAGTTGAAATTACTGTTCAAGATGGCGACTGATTTAACAGCAGTCAAGTGATTTATTCTCAGTTTGGTTTGGCAATTCGCCATGAATAGATTCACGCCTGAACAACGCTTGCCAATAGTACAATTTTATTTCGAAAATAATGGTTCTGTGCGGAATACGTATCGCGCACTACGTCCATTTTATCGTCAACAAAATCGTCCATCAGAGCAGTTAATTCGATTAACCACGTTTACTCTTATTGATAACTCGCATCCCCAGAGACGCCGCACGGTGCGTACAGAAGAAGCTATTGCTGCTAATTGAGGAAGACCTGAATGAGTCCATCCGCGATCGAGCACAGGAATTGGATCTGGGTCCATCCACTTTATGGAAGATTTTGCGAAAGGATCTTGGTTTACGTGCTTACAAAATCCAACTCGTGCAAGAATTGAAGCCAAACGATCATCAATTAAGGCGTAGATTCGTCGAATGGGCCCAAAACGAGATTGCTGTTGTTCCCGATTTTCATAAGCAAATTTTGTTCAGCGATGAAGCGCACTTCTGGTTGAATGACTACGTCAACAAATAAAACTGCCGCATCTGGAGCGAAGCTAATCCTCAAGTGCATGTCGAAACACCGTTACATCCAGAAAAACTGAGTGTTTGGTGCTCTTTATGTGCTGGTGGAATCATTGGTCCGTACTTCTTCAAAAACGATGATGGCCAGAACGTTACAGTCAATAGTGATCGGTATAGAGCTGTGATTACTAACTCTTTCATTCCTGAATTGAATAACCATTATGTCCAGGAGATGTGGTTTCAACAATACGGCGCAACATGTCGCACATCTCGTGCAACAATTGATTTGTTGAAAAACACGTTTGGTGAGCGCCTAATTTCACGTTTTGGACCTGTGAATTGGCCTCCAAGATCTTGTGATTTAACACCGCTTGACTACGTTCTGTTGGGCTATGTAAAGTGATTGGTCTATGCGGATAAGCCACAAACGCTTGACCATTTGAAAGACAACATTCGCCGTGTTATTGCCGATATACGACCACAAATGTTGGAAAAAGTCATCGAAAATTGGACGTCCAGATTGGACTACATCCGCGCCAGCCGTGGCGGTCATATGCCAGAAATCATATTTAGAATGTAATGCCACAAGATTATCTTTCGTATAAATAAAATTCATGTCAATCGAATAATCCTTCGTTGTTTTATTGCAACTTAAAGTTCTATACATAAAAAAAAAACACCCCTTATCATAAGCCAGGACTACCCTCTGATAGATGTGGTTGTTTTTTAGTTTCTTAACCTTCCGGATCATACTGTGTACAGAACCCTCGTCCGACAGGGTTAGTTTTACAAGGCGCGGGTTGCCTGACCCAGCACGTCCTAAACGTATCGGTCTGGTCGATTCTGCTTGTTGGATTTCTGGATCAATACAATCCAGAATAGACTTGACTACCTGTATATCACTCTGCTCACGTGCGTCTGTTGACTGCGGTTCATCTGCTTCCGGGACAGCATAGAGAATAACGCTTCGCTTCCGTTTATTGCGATCATTGATTTTCACGATAATATCCTCGATGTCCGGTCTGGCCACTTCTACATTCGTTTGAGACTTCCCCTTATAATTTTTATATCACTTTGCAATTGAAGAATAAGGTATTTCATGTTGATACATTAGTAATTTTAAGGGGCTACTTTACTCTCCACGATCCACTGTCGAGACGTCAGCAGACGAAAGTAGAATTGATTTTTTGTTCGACTAGGTAACGTTATTTATTTATTTACGATGTAAAGGATATACGGGTGGGTAGCGTGTTATATATAGCAATGAAACATTCAAGGTCCTACGGGGATTTAAATTGAAAAACATTCTTGACAAGATCACGGCGGGTACGCACGCAAACAATGTGAAATGTGAAAGTTGTTAAGTGAGAACGAGTGATCCCATAAATTTTTCCATTTAGAAACCTTAGTCTACAGCGGATGTATCCTCATCGTTGTATCTAGAAATGTTTGCAGGAAAAAAAAAACAAATACAAAATTGTCGTTGCCATCATTCTTTAGCATAGTCACAATCATGTTCTACTATATTCTCATCTATATAGAAATTTTGATGTTTTGTAGTTTACACAGAAGTTATTCTAAGGTTCTGTGTATGTTTGCGTGTTAAGCATGTGTATATTATTTTATTTCCTTCCGTTCGTTTTTTAGAAAAAAAAAACATGAATAGGCGATATCAAATCGAAGCTATGATTTTGTTTAATCGAAAAGCCGTACCACTCAACCTTTCCCAGGTTTTCGCAATTTTTCTATCAACAACGCTGTTATTATAGAGATGTTGAATTGTGATTTATCCACGCAAACAGTAATTTCTACAAGCTTAACTTGACTGGTCACGACACCCACATTAACGACACGACTGCCGATAATAGACATCGTTCCAACAATTACGTGTTTTCTGAATGACAATTTTTGCATTGCAAATCCCAAAAGTCTATATTGATTTTCTAGCTACTCTTCCGTAATATTACATACCTCATTTCATCAAGAAGATTGTGTGGGGTATAAACACCGTCTCGGATTTTTCGTTGGTAGAAGAACTGATTACATGCAAGAATTTTAATTTTATCAAATAAAATTTTGTGCCCGGCTTCATGAGTGTGTTCGGCAACAGCTGATGAGTTTATCTGTCTTATGCGTAAGGCTCTTTCGTGTTCTTTGAGGATAGTTGATATTTTTCGTCCGGTCTCTCCAATTTATTCTTTGCTGCATGTGCATGGAATGCTGTATACTCCTGGCGTCTCAAATGGAATTTTGTCTTTGACGGACCGCAGATGTTGAGAGATTTTTGGAAAAGTGGTAAATCTGGTTTTGACGTTATACTTCATTAGAACTTTTGATATATGGTCAGTGATGCTTTGAATGTAAGGAAGGACCACAGTGGCAAGTGTTGGATTGCTTTCGGCCTCATTGCAATTGTAAGGTTGTGGTGAAGTGTATTTTTTGATGGAACGTTTAATATATTTAATGTGGAAATTATAAGAGAGAAGAGCAGAGGTAAGGTGTTTTAATTCTTTTTTCAGTGACTCGGGCTGAGATAGTTTTACGGCCCTGTTAACAAGAGAGTTGATAACCGATGATTTTTGGGCTGGATGGTGATGTGACCATGCATTAAGTTATCGGTCTGTGTGCGTAGGTTTTCTGTAAACACAATGACCCAATGTTAGGTCTGATTTTCTATTGATAAGAATATCTAAGAATGCCAGGTTATTATTAGCTTCCAACTCAATGGTAAAACGTATATTAGGGTGAATCGAGTTTAAATGTCTAAGAAAATCTACTAGGGTTTCTTGACTATGAGACCAAATAACAAATGTATCATCGACGTAGCGTTTCCATAATTTTGGTTTTAAATGAAAGCTATCGAGAGCTTTCTTCTCAAAGGCTTCCATATTTATATTCGCGATGACTGATGATAGTGGAGAACCCATAGCTGTTCTCGACGTTTGCTCAAAAATTTGACCGTTATAAGAAAAATATGTTCCCGATAAGCATTTTTCATTTAAGGTGAGAAGGTTTGGTTCCAGATTCTCGGATTTTAATATATCTGAAATGATGTCGAGAGTTTCAGGAATAGGAACTTTGGTAGAGAGAGATTCTACGTCGAAACTAACTAGAATATCTTGTTTTTCTAATGTAATGCTTTTTAATTGTTCAATGAAATGAAAGGATTTAAGTACGAAACTGTCAGTTTTCCCTGTAAGGGGTTTTAATAAGAGAATAATAAGAGAATATGTTGGAGAACCAATGGTGCTGACAATAGGTCGAAGGGGTAATCCTGGTTTGTGAATCTTTGGAAGTCCGTAGAAACGAGGAATTTTAGAGTCGTGAGGGGCAACAGATTTTTTCACGGAGTCTGATAGAGAAAATAAAATACGAGCCAGTTTCAGTCAAGCTCTGAAGAAGCCAACAGGATGATGGGCGAAACGTTAGGTAGTTCGAGTCAACAAAAACCGACGCAGGAGGAATCCAGAAGTTTTGTAAAAAGCATTACAGTAGCCTGTGGAAGTTTCTTTGAAAAATTAAAAAAGTATATCGAACTGGTTTTACAAAAAATAATGTGTCCATGGCAATGGCCCCAAGGGGCTTATGTTAACATTTTTTTTACCTTCGCCAGAAACCGGTACAAACTCAGTAGGGCACAATTTGCTCAAAACGCTCAGTATTTAACACTCAACAAGGTCAGTAATATTAATATTGACATAAATAATTTTGTAGAAAAAGAAAAATTAAATCAGTTTGTTTTTGAAGGGTCGACTTGGTAGCTAGATATAATTGGGGTGAATTTGCAATATGGTCCAAGAAAGCTTTAGCCCTGCTTTGGGCCGGTTTTCGGCAGACAAAGAGTTTGGAAGTTTGTGGTAAGTCATATCTAAGAAAAGAAGCAATAAAAAAGAAAGAAACCTTGGTATTGCTTTTAATTTATCATTCTCCTAGTGGTAAATCAAACTTTCTTTATATTCAATTACTGAATGTGCTGAATTTATTATATAAACCGAATAGTTAAGTTATATTATGTATTATTATTCCTACTTTGGTTTAGCAAGTAGAGTTCACTGGCCAACTAGATTTCCAGCAACTAGTGTCTGTATAATTGTTATTGACAATACAATATCAGACCACAGATCGATTTTATGTTTAATAAGTTCCGTCCACAATATAAATGCAATTCAAAATAATATGGTTACGTTCTGACGATCTTTCTCGGATGAGGCCATAACGTCTTTTGAACAAGCAACATTTCTTGAAAATTGACTTAATACGTATAGTGTATACCTTTGATTGTACGTTTGAATATTTTAATCAAATTCTAACATATCTTTTCCTAATCTTGAGCGTAAAAACTAACCAAAAAATAACGCGAATTTCCAGAACGCCGAAATGTTATACTAACTTTTTAACGTCTATTCTTGAAGAGGAGCTATACAGTTCACTTATTAAAAAGCTTGAATATAAATTTTCTGCTGGATGTGATGATATCCCCAATAAAGCTATTTACCCATCTAGTAAATTTATTCTTTTGTGAAGGAAAATTTCCTTCAAGCCACGAAATTGGAAAGATTTATCCAATACCTAAGAAGATAGTAAAACAAATGTTAATAATTACGGAGCAGTTATAGTCAGCACGATTTTCTCGAACTTGTTTTATTACGCATATTTGCAACGACTTTTATTGCATCTAGAAAACAATAAAGTACTATTCGATAACCAGTTCGGTTTTCGAAGTGGGAGATCCTCCATAGAAGCAGTTACTTTATTCTTTGAGGGTATTGTTATTCTATAGAGATCGTGTCCTGTAGGTATTCTGTGGCCTCATTCTATTATGTAGATCACGACATAATGTTATGATAAATGTCTTGCAATGGCACAAGCGGCTTACATTGTAATTTGGAGCTCTTTTTATCTTATAGGAAACAATATACACTAAAATAAAGTCGAAGTCATCCATGGTAACAACGGCCGTCCCTCAGGGCTCTGTATTAGGACCAGTACTTTTCCTCTTGCAGGTTTAGTGAGTTTACGCGGCTCGGACGACTTAGAGACAAAGATTTGAGAAATTTGCTGATGACTTTACGATATCTGTGACAAGTAGGTGTGATTCATGTCTGGAAGACTAATGGAACGAGTTTTGAGTGAGGTGAACTTTTGGTTAATCGACTAGAAACATATTTTATAAGATTCCATCACATAAATACTGAAAATTTGCGATCGGTAGAATTTTAAAACTCCTTGCTCTTCTTTGGTATCAGGGTTACGGCCAACATCTATTTATTACATGACCTGAAGGACATCTTAAAAGAATCACAAATACTAAGTGTTTATTACGTTCGTGTTGAGAGTAGAATAAGGTACGATATAATTTACAAAACTAATTCTTGTAAAACTTATTTAAAAAAATTTAATATGTTAACATTGTATAGTCTATATGTATTTTAAATGTGTGTTTATGTGTTTCAAATTAAATCAGGTTTTTTGTTGAACAATAATTTTCACTGAGACTAAAGACGACTTTAGGGTTACTTATGCAAAATATAATAGCCTTTATAGAATCCCGAGTATAATTGGTGTTCGATTTTTTAACCTCATAACGAAAGAAATAAAAATGTGTGATAATTTATGTGCATTTAAAAAAATGTTAAGGGAAGATATAGTGATTAAATGTCTGTACTTAGTAGAAGAGTACTTTATAGTCTTTCCTTGTCTATAGATCACTGTTTGTAATCTTGGATTATGCGTCATTTTATTTTATTTTATTTTACAATTTCCTGTACAAACATTGTATTATATATTATATATATTATTATCATACAGAAATCGATATCAATATATTAAGCAATCGAAATTCCAGCAGGTTCTTAAACTTATAAATATGTGAATACACAAATATTCCACTTAAAATATTATTTATTTTTATGAGGAATAGGATTCAGATGGCATTGCTCCTTCATGAAAATAGTAGTTATAGTTCAGAATGTATGCCGGTGTTAGATGAAGTTCCTCAAGTGAGTTGATTTGCTTATGGCATTTATAAGTAAAGTAAAGTATGTAAAGTAAAATTCAACAAATAAAGGAAATCATATTTTAAAATGCCTTTAAGCATGAAGCTGCTGTAATGTGGATATTGAGGAAACTGATTTCCATAAGTCTGTTACATTTATAGGTTTTTATTTATTTATTTATTTTTTACTGTGTACAAAATGTTAAAACAAACTCAAACAGAGGATTTCAATATTTTAACCAACAAGATTAGACAGAGCAGTTGAAAGGAATCGCAAAACTTACACGTATCGATATGGGAATGTAAGCAGAGTTCGACAATTAATATTATGAGGTCTTATACTAACATATTAATTAACATACATTAACAAATTAACGCGTCTTTATTTTAAGCTAGGAGAAGATTAGCTTAGCTGTTAACTCAACTGAACTTGTAAAACAGATATACAACTTAATTTGATATACCAATTTTATATTACAAAAATATATGCGTATATGTACGTCTTAATCGAGCATAAAATAAACCAGAGAACATAATAAGATAGTGACATAAGGAAAATTCCCTAAGTATTTCTTCCTAAAAGATGTTTTTAAAAATGAAATTTTAAAAATCATAGTCCTCTTAATCCAGGGTACTTCATATTTTGCTATAAGCAATTTTTTTTTCAGTAAATAAGAGGGACATTCAGGTTAAAGTAGACCTCTTAAGGTTGTAAATAAATCAAATAGGAGGACATACATCACAAAATTACACTAACTTAGATGACACAGAACCAGTGCTTCTTTTAACCTAAAGTTCTTCAGTTTAAAAATTGCTTTGGAAACCTGTTTACGAAGTCTAAGTTTTTTTTATCGAATATTATATCCAAGTATTTATATTGTTCAACATCTTCTTAGATATCAGCTAAACATTGAGCAGCTCAAGTAGTAAATATATTTATAAATGATATAAAAATCTTTTTTAATATCATTTGTAAATATATTTACGATTTGAGCTGCTCAATGCTTAGCTGACCCAGAGGATATTAGTTTGAATTCTTCATAATTAGAGCATATAAAGACTCTTATTTAGTGTCCTTTCCACTTCCACTGCAACATAGCTATTATTGAACTCACCAAAGCAACTCGACATATCTGCAGTATATAATAAAGAAAGGTGGCCCCAATAACGAGCTCTGAGGGTCCTCCTGTTAACTTTGTCTGTCGTCATTCCATCTAGTATTGTCAATCGAAACTACCCCTTTCTGTGATCCAGATATTTAGGAACTAGTTGAATTGTATTAGTTTTAAACCCTTAATATTTTAAGTTGCCACACAGCACAAGGTGATTGAGGGCATCGAAAGCTTCACTATAATCTGGTAAGACCAAAGCCGATGGTTCCCATTGCCTGATTTTAGATAGTATTCAAGAACAGTCTGTTGACTTAACAGTGCGAATATATCCGATCAACGTAGAGTAAGAATGGATAATAATGGAAACATCGATCCCACGTCACTGAGAAATATTGAGAACAAAAAGGGCCCAGATGGGATCCCTGTAGTATTCCAGGCTACTGTAACGAATTCGGATTTAGAGCTATTTATTTGAACATACTGTGACATTTTGGAAAAGTATCTCCACAGATCATGTTGCAAACCCACATTTTGACGGGTGTTGTGGGATTGAACTTTTGAAAATTATTGAATTCGCAAATTTTGGAATACTTTTTCTACTGCAAATAAATTTAAGTACCTGGTAAAAGATTGTTTGGTGATTATGTCAGCATTAGGCAATCTCATTTGCCAAAATAAAAAATTATCCTCAGACAACCGGAAAAGTTTTGAAAGCATTTCCTTGTTTCAGGTTTTGAGCCTATTGCCGTGATGCTATTAACATTTCATTACGTGCGCTCGTACGTCACCCCATTTGAAACACATAAATATTTATCTTGTATCGAAAACAATCGATACGTTATGAATAAAAGTTCGCCGTGAAAAACACTCACCAATATTTTCGGAGAACGGACCGAAGGAGAAACCCAGAAAAGTTTAAGAGTTAACGACCTTCAGCAGTTTCGGTTGCATGCTGAGCCTAGCACCGTTTCTGGTAGTCGGATATTTTCGTCGCGATCCATCGATGTCGAACAGAAAAACGACCGGATCGGACGTAAAGCGGACGTCGAATAACTGGAAGGGTCGGTTTGGATGTTGGGGCATCGATTTTACTGGGGTAAGTGGTCGGCGTCGAAGCTGACGCGCAATCTACGAGAGACGAATTAAAAGTTCACTCCAGAGGCCTGTTTCATAGCAGTAGTTTAGAAACTTGTAAATTACAAAAGTCAATAATAATAACAAAATTCAGACGTTTACACCCCAACTCATCAACATCACGACTTTATATCTATAGAAAAGAAGGTGACAGGAGCTTCTAAATATAAGCAAAATTTGCAGAAATCAGGTCTCTAAAATTAGTACGATATTATTAGGTTCCATAAACCATATCATCCAGTAAGAAATAAGAAATAAGAAATGCTGAAAAAAAACTTCACAACACTCAACTTATGCCAATAACACTGATATAGCATCAATCTTGCATCAGGAAATGCAAACTTGGAAGGAAAATGCACTTCATCGTAAATACCCTCTGACACTCGAAGACACATTCATCGACAAAACATCATCACTACAGTGGCTTCGTATGGGTTAGCTTTATCCAGAAATTGAAGGCTTTATGTTTGCAATACAATTACGAAAAACATATATTGAAAATCAACACCATTGATAAGTGTAGAAAATGCAGCAATACTGGAGAATCAGTAGAACACATCATGGGTGGGTGTAGCGCACTGGCAGATAATGCTTATTTATTAAGGCACAATCAACTGTCAAAAATCATACATCAGCAACTGGGGTTGAAAAGAGACCTTTTGTCGAAAGATATGCCTGCATTTTACAAATGTGAACTAATATTAATTCTCGAAAACAACACAGATCATGCTCCTCATTAATAAACAGAAAAGAAGAGACAATCATTGATATTGCCATACCATTCACCCGAGATCCACGGAAGCTGAGAAAGATGGCTAAAACAAATCTGGCGTCTTAACAGATTAACCATATATCCAGTGGTTATGTCAACGGAGGGAATTGTTGCAAAAAATTTCAAGAAAATCCTGGAGAAGCAGAATAACAAAAAGCCATAATACTCCAGATATGTCACATTGATTAAAAATTTTTGAGCTTAGGTGAAGTAGGATAGGAGGAAGCTTCTTTCTACTAATATCAGATCACCAATACCTGCAAAGCAGACAAATCTGAGACCAATAATAATAATAATAATAATAATAATAATAATAATCCTACGCATGTGGGAAAAGGAGACAGTGGTTGTTGTCCCAATAGTAGTAGGTACCATGGGTGATATACCAAAAACTCTAAAATGGAGCCTACAAGAGCTTGGACTGGAATGGAGCCTACAAAACTATCTCCAAAAAACGGTGCTATTAGACATCTGCGCCATAGTTCGTAGGGTAATGAGTTGTTATTAAAAAGCGTTCGCGAGCGCTATGAATAAGCGTACCATCTTCTCTCTTGGGATAGATGAAGAAGGGCTTCCTGTTGCCAGGAGATACCTGAGAAAAAGAAATAATATTAATAATATAATATGGCGTGGAGATGGGGCGACCACACTGCCCGCGCTCAGGGGTAGTAATCTTGCCAATCCCAACATGCTCCGGCGGGTTAACACATATAACGCAAAGAGAATATGATAAAGAAGCAGTTGAGGGCCATAATACCTGAAGTAAGAAGACAACCTATTCAACCCCTGCTGACAGATGACGCTCGCGGAAGATCAGAACAGCTGGTGAGACGGCGAATAGACTATTGGATTCCATGATGTAATGAAGTGTCGGTCCTCGTTGCCTAAATTGGCTCTACAAAAGGGAGGATATTATGAAATAAAACAGCCAGAGGTCTCACCACGCTGGTAGGTAGTTCGTCTGTCTACCTCTCTAACCAACCAATGACTAAAACAGAGAAAAAAGTCACAGCGATTGCAAGGAAAACAAAAATTAAAAAAGGTAATCCTGACTACAGAGAAGAAATGAAACTGCACTTGTATATAATATAATGAATAAAATGCCCTCTTCAGGAAAAATACGCACGCATTCTACAGAAATTTAAATACCAAAGAAATTGGAAAAGATGCCAGACCGCCCCCAGAAGAAGAAGTAGTAATATTCTGGAGTAATGTATGGAGTAAACCTCAACAGTATAATGAGGAAGCTTACTGGATACCGGCAGAGAAAAATATAGTCTCGGAGGTACCACCTATCATTTCATTGCATTGCATCAGGTGCAGGCAGGTACATTTTTCCTTGCACACACTACCGATTAGCCAGCTAATTCCAGAACTCGATTTGGAAAGGGTTAACAAACTTGATTCCAAAATCGGACCAAACCCGGGAACCAAAAAATAACAGACTTATTACATGTTTACCAGTGGTGTACATCTCCCCAAATTTCTGAAGCAAACTGAACTCGATAATAATAATAATAATAATAATAATAATAATAATATTAATAATAGCAATAATAATAATGTTTGGCCTTGCGCACTGCAACCAGCAGTGTTTGAGCTATCCGTAATGCGTAGACGGGTACAGCCAGAACGACCATCTGACCTGAAACCCCTTTTTTATCACTCCAACCTCCTTTACTTACCCCATGACGTAACCCCTCACCTTGACTCCTTTGATCCTATAAATTCTCCATTCGAGAAAAGACCGAATTGGTTAAATCGTACTATAGAGTGACCGCCTTGTATGGACAGAAACTGCATGAAGGCTTCACCAGCAAATTTCCAGAACCTTCCAAATTATCCGAACAGAGAATTGCCGACCACTAGACCAAGCTGAAACCCAAATTGAGGAGACGGGGACCGCTACCGAAAACTGGGATAACTTCCAGAACTTTCTTACCAGGTTGAGGGGAATGAGTCCAAATCTTCGCCCAAAAATACCAAAGCTAAACTTCAACCCTAACTCTAAGAATATAACGTCAAAGTTTGACTGACGAAGCTGACCTTGAAGAACTCTACCTTCAGATCTACTGCGGAGCGTTAACATGCGTTAAATTTACTTTACTCGAAATGGTCAGAAACTGCTTCAATAACAAGGCCTAACGGGACAATTAAACGACACACCGCCATGGGATAAACGGCTGCAACGAAGGATTGAGGAAAAAAGATCGGAAAGATCATAGAACTGCAGAGAAATTCTGGAAACAAAAGAATCATATCCAGACTCACGGAAAAAATTTCCTCAAATATCCAGCAACAAAAAGGGTTTGAAGTTAACAACTTTCTATCTGACTATTTAGACACCCTAAAGCAAAGCCTGGCTACGTACGCCGAACGCCTCAAGAGATATCGTAAGAGTTACCGCATAAAAATGGATAATGCTGACTTCTCTAGATCTGCAAAGACTTTTTATAGGGGTTTGTACCAAAAGACACCCAGCTCTAAGGAAAAATACCCCGATCCGGGGGAAATGGCTGTATGTTCCGACAATACAGACGCGTTTGTATGCTTAAAAATGACAAAAATCAAGGTCACAACAGAGGACATTGAAAGAGTTATTGGAAGGGTAGCAAATTGGAAAAGATTCACGTCAGTTCATTCCCACCTTATGAAGAGCAACACATATGCTGAACCATCTCCTCTACATGGACGACCTGAAACTATATGCGTCAACCAAAAATCAGTCAGAAAACCTTCTAAAATTAGTGCACAAAGCCAGCAATGATACAGGTATGATACTCGGACTAAGTAAATGCCAGACGGTAATAATAGTAAGAGGAAAACTCGCATCAAACGTCCCTCTCCCCCTGAATGAGGACGTCACTATAAATGGATGGAATGGATAATCAGCCCTACAAGTCAAACAAGATAGAACCCGCTAAAATCAAAAACATTCTTATCGACAAATTCAAGCAAAGGTTAAATGCTCTCCTTAAAACTGAGCTTAATTCAATTAACATCAGCAAAGCCATAAATAGTTATGCCATGCCGGTCCTGGAATATTCGTTTGGAGTTGTACAATGGTCTAAAACTGACTTGGAAAATCTGAACCGATTAGTGCCCACGGCAATGTCAAAATTCCGAAAACACCACCCGAGATCATCGATGGAAAGCACTACTCTGAGCACGAAGAGGAAACGGACCACCTCCATCAAGTGATCACAAAAGCAGACCAAGCGTTTACACCGCTAAATCTAAGTGGAAAAATTAAGTTAGGAAAACCAGATACAACTCTGGAAAAAATTCAAATTTGGGCCAGCAAACAACTGCACGGCCGATACCAACGAGATATAAACCGAAACAACGTCGACAAAAATGCTACCCTTGAATGGGAAAGGCTATTTAATGTCAGAAACTGAAATGTTTGTTATAGCGATGCAAGACCAGGTTGTCAGCATTCAGAACTATCGAAAGTACATCATGAAAGAGAACATTGCATCTGACAAATGCAGACAGTGCCAAGAACACATTCTTTCGGGATGTCAACACACAAAACGCCACAACACAAAATATATAGAGAGGCACAACAAGGTTCCAATTGGTGAAGAAATACGACATAAACTTTGAAGATAAAAAGCCATATTTCTGGCTCCAACCACCACCAGTCATCGACAATAACAAAGCTACGGTCTACTGGGACAAAGCCATAATCACAGACAAGAAAATCAGGCATAATCGACCAGACACAACATCGACTCTAAGAAGGCTGACAAGATCCAAAAATATGGCGATCTGAAATGGAAAATTAAAGAACTGTGGCATATGGAGAGTGTGGAGGTCGTCCCATTGATCATATCCAGCATGGGTGTTGTACCGACGGATCTGAAAACAAACTTAATTAGACTGGGTCTAAAAATTGCAATACTTACTGTATGATGGAGAAGTCGGCACTCTTGGATGCAGCAACCGATCGGTCCTGGAGGGGAACGCTTGAGGACGTAGTCTTGCTGCCCTGCAGCTAACGAATAATAATAATAATAATAATAATAATAATAATAATAATAATAATAATAATGATTGGGGGTTGCGCTGTAGAGGTAGTACCTTTTATCAAGGACGGTGGCACTCAACGATATAATCGGTGAGTGGTCGGCGATAACTGGTCCTCAC